TAATTATGAGAGAATAATTACTTTTTCTGAAATGCTTTTTATGACTTTAACTCTGTAAGGCAAATTTATTTATGAATTTCTAAAGCATGATGTTTTCCATGAGGAAAAAATAAGTAAATATGATATAGTTGTGTTTTTATTAAGGGGGATCTAGAGTCTCTGTGCTGTTACATTCTTTTAAGCAGAACAGCAAAATATGAATTGGATGTAACCACCAGCTCTTTGAAAATTTACTTTCAGTTAACAAGGAATACTTATTAATCATTTCATTTGGAGTATGCTGCAGGGGTCTGTTTCGGCCATGTTGGTTTTCAGTGTTTAAAATCAACAACAAAAAAAAAAGAGTGATTTGAGTGATGGAAGAAACCATAAACTTTAAATATCTCTGGTTGACAGACAGATGGATGGGATTGCAAATGCCCCTAAGGATAGGATTAGAATTTACAAAAATCTTGGCAAATTAGAGAGTTTATCCAAAATCAACAGTATGCAATAAAAATGCAAGAATATCACCACCAAATGCACAGAAACAAACCAGAAATAACTGGATAGAGTGCAGAAGCACAAAAATTTAACACAGACTAATACTGCAAATTTCAGTACAGCATAGACAAACTCTTTAGTAGATCCCACACCACTGTCAAACCATTCAAATTTCAGGACCTATTTAATTCCTTCCCTACCTGCCTTATATACCTGAGATTATTTTTAATGACAAGTGCATAAGGGGGAAGTGCATAGTGAGGTTTCAACCCTGTAAATAATAAGAACATATTCTAGGCTGTATGTCTGGGCATCATGACCACTGGAATTAAGGTAGAAAGCATCTGCCCTGAAAACCAGATGTAGCCCTTCCAGTTCACATAAACAAAAGGAATTACCAAAGGGATACTCCAAGAAAAAGTAATCCTTTAATAGAAAACATTTAATCATATTGTCATGTAAAATATGATGTCTATGCTGTGTTAGGGAAGCCCAAATTGTAGTGTTTTGGCAATGAAGATGGATTTTCTGTTAATACTGAGAAAAAAGGGAGAGAGGTATTTTATGAAAGTATAGATTACCTGCCAAGAAGTTTATGTAGATTATTATGAAGCTAATCTCTATAAAACTATTGAACTGGATACCTTTTTTAATTTTTAAGCTTTGAAATATGTAAGAATATGTTTTACTATAAACCAATTTTTTTTTCAAGAGATTATGAAATGAGATTATAAAATTTAATGGAACCTTTTGATTTCTTCAGCAGGTATATTTGTGTCTTTTCATTAAATTTTATCAGATTGACAAAGATATTGATTCAGCAAAAATAGAAAAGGTTTGTGAAGTGGCTATTGTTGGATAACTACTGTGATACTAAAACCCATACATTTGGGAATAAGTAGGGACAATTTGGGTTTTTATAAGTGAAGGGGACACTGTTATCAAATAAAATTACAGAGCAGTCCTAAACAAAATGCACTTCTTCTGCTCTTGCTGTAGGCTGTGCTTCAAACTGTTTCAGCTGTGGGAGAACTATATAACAGAATAATATACGAAGCTATCACTTGTCTCTTCTACATTATTCTCTAAAAATCCAAGAAATTTATTAAAGAGAAAATAATATTGTGTTCTCCAAAAGTACTAAAATATTTTAGACATATAAAAGTTAACTACAAATTGCTTCCAATAAATATATTATATTCAAGTGTTAAGAATTCCTTATTATTTCACAGCCTACTTGGACAACTCTTATTTTTTAATTATATCCACATTTTGGTGTGAATATTTTAAGATACTATCTAGTGGGATTGAAATAAGATTTTGGACAATGTTTTTCCTGGAATTGAATTAAGTTTCAGTGAGTAAACAAATATTTTTTGTTGATAATTGCTTCCACCTTTGCATGAGGAAGTAAAAATTAATGGAAATAAGGTGATAACACACACTATTAGAATACCTACTGGAATTTGTCTTGGTAATCGTCGTTACAAAATTAGTGGGGCTTGTTCTCTAAGTTGATTTATTACCAGTATTTTAAAGTCAAAGTGCATAAAGGCCATTGAAAGCAGACTTTTAATCCCCTCTTTTTTTCTGACCAATTAAAAGAAAGGTACACTAACATTGTCCAGTACTGAGGCATCTTACAGTAGTTGTTAGTGTCTAGTAGTTCCCATAATGTGTTTAAATAGGGAGTGTTATAAAAGGAGCTTGAAAATACAGTAGTCTACTTGATGTTCATTCTTATCTGTGACTTTGAATCAAGTGATGTCAACAAAATAAAACATTTTCAGAAGATAATGGCCTCCTGATTGCTTTCTAAAATTGTGATGACTGCAGACAACAGAGATCTTGTGAAATTTAAAGAAATTTGAGAAAAAAGAAGCCTTAAAAATTTGGCAGTTGTTAAAGAAATGTCACACAAAAGTGGCCAAGCATTGAAATGTTACTGAATAATGCTCTAAATTGTGTGAGTTTGCAAGTTGGAGAATAAATCACTTTTTATTTAAAATAAAACCAAATTACTTTCAGGAGGTAGAGTTCCTGTTCTCTCCAAAGTATGATTAATTTGCTGGCACTACAGTATAATGAAGTATTTTATTCATATTTTATTTTTATATACATAGAAATAATCTTTAGTACAAAAAAACAGCTTTTCATCTAAACCTCTCAAAGTACCAGAGAAAGTATTGTTGAAACTCCCAAAATGGTTTTGTGAGGCAGGAAAGTTCGTAGTCAGAAAGAATTTCTAGATCAATATTTTAGTTCACAACAGAACTACAACTATGTTTGAGGATTATTAATTCATGCTAATATAAGGTTATAGTGGTGCTATAATGAACTGATTCTCTGAAGGGAAGGTAATAATATTTAAATTTTTGCACCCAGTTTCAATCTTGTAATTCCTTTCTTTCAGTGTCTTAAAACTATAGCAAAATATTATAGCATAATTGTCCCCACAAAGATTCAAAATAATAAAATAGAAAAAAGCTGGTTTAGAGCCACAGATTAATTTAGACTCTTTAGACCAAGTATTTGCAAAGTATATTTGGCTTTAACGGCATTTTTTCAACTGTGTTACGATGCTGATGTTAGTGGTCATGTACTGCTGCTTTCATAAGGAAAAAAAAGAGCAGGGAAGAAAATTACAAAATAATGTCTTGGAAAAAAATATGTGGAGAGATAAGAGTAAAGTAAATTCTTAAGACAGATGCTTTTCTGGGTTTGGGTTTTTTCCTTTTTTTTTTTTTTCCCCACCTATAATATAATGGCCACATTTCATGATGACTTCTGCAGTGATGGAACAGACTGTTCAGCAGTGTGAGAGACCTGAGACTTGATCACATTGCTGTGGTAGAAAAGCTGAGGTCTTTAACAAGGGAGCATAAATAATGTTCTGATGAACCCATGTGATGTTCGCTTTTAAATGCCCATCTCAAAACTTTCTTAGAAACTTTAAAAATAAAAAAACCTTTTTTTTTTTTTTTTTTTTTTTTTAGATAAAGAAAGGCCAAATATGTACATTTTTATTCTCAGGTTCTTTTTTGAACATATCTAAAATACATTTGAAAAAAAAACTGGCATTCCTTGAGCCATGAACACCCTTCCTCTCCCTCCCCATAAAAAACCTAAACAACAAACATACAAAACCCCATAAAAACACACACACAAAAAAAAAAAAAAAAAAAAAAAACAACAAAAAAAAAAACAAACAAAAAAAAAAAAAAAACAAAACAAAAAAACAAAACCAAACCCCATAGAAGTTATTTATGTAGCACAAACACCATAGAAAAATTGTTAGAACATGGCAACACTGCAAACACTGAATGGATGATCTGTTAATAACATGTCTTGAATAATCTTAAATTTGCAGAGGCATACATCTTCCAAAGCATACAGGTTACCACTGTAGCATTTAATCTTCTTCTTTAATAAGTTAATTACCATTATGTTTATGCACATATTTTTCCATGCATCCTTCTTTTCTATTATTCAGGCATATTTTTACTTTATGTATTTTCTAATATTTATTTTCTAGATTTTAAATTTTGAGCATTAATCTTCATTAATGTTGTACTGCAAAGAGAAAAATGCCTGTAGACAAAAAGTTGGAAACTAATTTGCTGCAAGAAAATCCATTTTAGATTGTTCTTATTAAGCTAATGGTTAACCACAAGACTTATTAATGAAATATCCATGGTTATAGTATTGATAAATTTAAAAAATCTTAGCAATTATAAATAAATTCATCCAGGTCCATTAAATGAATGTTAATTCAATGATGAATTGTATGTATTTGATGATCATAAGGGAGATTTGGTGTACTAATCTGTTTTCTTCCTCTGCTTTTGTAGAAGAAATTCCATTTTTGCATCCCCAGATTCACAACAAACCACCCCCAGTCAGATTGTCAATTGCTTTTACTCCAATGCACTTTTGTCAACTGTCACAGAGCATTCTGATACCTTTCAAAAATGAAATGTATATCCTCTATTACTAATTTGATTACTTTGATTTCCCACTTTTAGAACCAAAATCTTAGAATGTAATCTGATTTTTTTTTTTTTTAATACCTTCTGAACATTGAAGTAATTTGTTTTCTAAATGAGCTATTTATGTTCAAATAAACTTCTCAACTCATAGTTTGAACTGCTCTGGGATACAACCTGAACTTCTGTCTAGATATCCCTGGAGATTATGGGTCTCCATGGAAATCCACAAATCCTCAGTTCCAGAAGAGATCTTAAAATTAATTTTTCCTCACAACACTGTTGGGGGGTAGGGAGAGGAAAACTGAACATACTTGAAAGCTTAAACTTTTATTGGGCTGCTTTTCTGACTTAAAGGTGCTTCTTTCAAAGTGTATTATTCAAGGTTTAATCCAACAGATTTTGCCTATAACATATATGTAGGCTAAATACTTGCAATATTGAACTATAATTTACTCATTTTGCTGTATATCTAATGGCTAGCTATTTATTGTCAGTGCTGATAGAAAGCTTTTGTTTTGTGTTTCTCAGATCTCAGGATAGAGAATTTTTGATTGAGTTCCAAACCTACAAGTTCAGGGTGAGTAATTATTTTTGTTATTTCTTTAGCTTGAACTTGGATGATTCTGTGAATATCTGTATTCCAGCATATAACTATCTTTCCTGGAGTATGAAAAAAAAAATCCTGCCCACTGTGCTATACTGTCAGCTGATAATATCAGTGATCAATTAACCTCTTTTTGTTTCAAGAGATAGTGAGGAAAATGGGGATTTTCCTTACTGTGTAGCCAGAAGATGAATTTGTTCATGGGGGTTTGGCTTGTTTGTTTGTTTGTTTGTTTGAGCATAGTTTGACTGAAGAGACGATGACATAACTGCAATTCACTGCTACATGAGTATCTTGACCATGTTGCCTTTTGGGACTAATATTAACACAGTCAACAAACACAGGAGCTGACATAATTTCAAAATGCAGGAGATAACACGAATCAAAGAGGCAATGATTTATAAAAATTACAGAGGTTCTCCAGACATAACTTCCATTTTTGTACATTAAATCCCTTGTGAGAAATCATCTTTTAGGACTGAATAAGGGTCAAGCAGCAGTAGACAGTAAAACTATCACGTTAAGGGTTTTATCAAAATGGCTTCCTACTAACAGAAGTTTAATGTGGCAGTTTTGGGGATTGAGATACAAAACAGATAGCTGTCTAATGAAAACTAAAATTACTGGAAACTTGTGGTTGATTTAGTTAAATTTCTTCTCTTCTTCATTTACTAAGTTTTATGAGAAATGTTATGTTTAATGTGAAGTAATTTAAATGAAGTATGTTGATGTTTAGCATGTTGCTGAAATAATTTAATAAGTAACATAAAATAGCTATTGAGACAAACAAGATTAAATAAGTTACCAAAGTATTCTCCTGTGTTTTAAGCTTGTTTCATAATATTAAATATAATAAAGTTGAGAGCTTCTTTTATAATAAGGGACAATATGATTAGCATGCAATTGAGATCAAACTCATGAGGAAACCTCATTTGTATAACACAAATAGCTGTCATACTCTGTACACAAGGGCAGCAAGCAACACTCCTAGACAGTGGAAACCTAAGCCCAGGAGATCATATCTGTCATCTTTGTTTTCTGATTTCACTCATTGTGTGAAAGTAGTAGTTCAAAAACCACCATGGCAGAAACATTTATATATTTTTACCATGTGACTTTCTGTAATGAGTTAGAACCTTTAAGCTTTAAAGCATATTTCTGCTTCACAAGCTTCTTGTGATAGCCTGAAATTTAGAATTTTGTAGTATCAATTTAAAAGACTCACATAAAATACATTTTCTTAATATTTGGACAGATCTGGTGGACTTTGTTTTCACCCTGTTTCTTCTGGTTTTCCATCAGATTCCTTTTCACTCTTTTGCTCATAGTTCTTGAGGATTGGAGTTGATTATTGCTATCTCACATGCTGCACAGCAGAGTTGTATAATCTTACCTGCAGCAGGTGATTTAGAGATGTCTTGTAAGCCTATAAGATGCTTTGAAATTCCAAATCCCTCAAATCTAGTGTTTTTCTGTATATCAGAGTGTGTACAGGAACACAGGGCTTATTCAGATTCCTGTAAGACCCTGCACTCACAGAAATTCAGGAGTAGTAAGTAATCTAATACTGTCAAAACTCTTAACTGTATAGTACCTGCCTTGTTATATTTGTTAATTTCTGGTGGTTGAGGAAACACTAGAAGTGTTTAGTAACAATACACTGAAGTGACTGCTAGAGAATTCTCATTATAATACTGGTATATTACTTAATATAAGATCACTGGTGATCAATTTTTTTCTCATGTTTTGAACAAATGATGCTATATAAAACGCACATAAACATATATGTGTACATGTATGTGTATCATCAATAATAAAGCTTTATTTCTGAAGAAAGGATTATACAAAACCAATGATATCTTATGGTTTGAGGAACCAAGGTTTCAGTGACATGTTAAAGCACTTTTTACGCTTCTGAATACAGGAGTCAACTGAGATAGCTACACTAAATAATTGATAAATATAATGAAAATACAATAAAGGAAGTTTTTCTGTGAGTTAAAAACAAACAAAACCCCACAACAAATCAAATTATACACAATAGAAATCAACACCTTTTATGGAAAATCCAGCAAAAAAAAAGAAGCTCTAACCACTTGTTTAAATTGTATCACTTAAGTTCAGCATACTTGGAGCAATTAAAAGAGCTGATAGGGTTTTACTATGGAAAGGGGGTCATTTCCAATAGCATAATCTTTCCAATCTATTCTAACTGGAAAGATAAATAGACTAATTAATTCATTGCATAAATTGACAAAGTTGAAATGACATAAACTAGACATGGAATTCTCCCTTCTGGTGTATGCAAACTGTAGGTATAACTGATTTGTCAGAGAACTTCCTTACATTGTTTTATTGACCTGAAATTTGTTTGCATAAAAGTGATACAGATGACTGAAGCAGAACTTAGAATGATACAGACAGCTACTGCAGTATCAAGGAATCCTTGCAAAATTTGAATCAGGGATGAAATCTGGTCCTGTAATTTAAACAGTGTTTTGCTGAGATAGAAGTTTAAACAAAGGCTTATGGTATGCCCCATTTAGTAATTTATAATAAATACTTTTAAAAAGGGGGCACAGACCAATCTAAGTTGTCTTAACACTGTTAAAATAGTAGTACTGATTTCATACATTTTACTATGCTTTTTAAAAATATGTAATTATGTAATTTCAACTTTCGCTTTCACTTAAGACTGACTTGATCATTCTTATGAAGGTTTTATGAGAAAAAAAAACACAAACTTCTACAGAATCAATGGATGAAAGTAAGTCTTCCATTGGAAAACTAATATCAGGAAGTTATGTAACCTTCTGTCAAGGTCATGTCTGTGCCATCCTCTAGTATCCAGTATTTGTTTTTCTATGAAATAAAAAGGAATTTTAAAACCCCAAAACAAACGAGACCAAAACACCCCAACAAAATAAAAGCAAAAAACCCACCCTTCTTATTCATCTGCACATTTCTTCTTACTATTTTTGCTAGTCCTCTCCAACTTCATATCTTAATTTTTTAAAACTTCTTTCAGACATATACTTTATTTATCTATTGACTTATGTGATAGAAGAAAGAATATAAAAATTCAGAACCTTAGCCAGATTTCTCAAAAAAACACCAATGACCAATCAAATCTGCAATATTTTCCTTTAGAGATAATTGTTTAAAAAAAAAAAAAAAAAAATATATATATATATATATATGCAATAGGAGGTAACAGAGGCATCTGTTTCTTGGACACTTTTTGGATGATCTAAGTCTGTAAAAGGCAATAGGCAGTCATCACAGTTTTGAAGGATATGTCTTTACTCCTAGAATGTTAAGCAACTGAATGAATTCTGATAACTGTCCATAGTTGTCTTGGTCACATTTTTGATAGTTTTATGTCAGTGAAATCAGTGTCATGGAAGGAACTTGACATGGAGTGTGGACTTCAGTTTAATTTTACTTTCAACTTTTGATATCTTTTAGTATTAGGTGGCACTTAAGAAAATCATTTTCTTGGCCATGAATCTGTAGGGTGGCCACCAGAATTCATCATCCCAGAAATGCCATATTTTTACAATTTTTATAGTATTAAATAATCTGATCGAGAAAAATGATAAAGCAACAAATAAAAAACATTTTCCTATTTAAATATAATGAAAATTCTTTTTAAAGACAGAATTTACAGAAGCGGACTTGAAATGCCATTTTACCTAAATCCTTCTGAATGATGTACCACTAATTATTGGGTATAGGACTACAGGTATGCTTGTATGTTCACTGGCAAAACTTTGCTTTTACATACTACATTTAACACTATATCTGGAAAACATTTCTTCTGATTACTTATTTACATATGTTTAGATAGACATAAAATCAACCATATGTGGGTACATGTGTTTAGATCATATTAAACTTCCTGAATGCATTCAAGATTTGATCCTGGTCAGTCCTTAAGTATTCGTATGTGCTTTATGTGTAGACATACATGCTCCTGTATATTTATACTTATGTATTTATGTTTTTCCATTGTGAAAGTTAATGTCTTCTCAAAAGCACAGCAAAATTGCTTAACCATTTCCTCTCTTACTGTAAATTTTATGTGTGATAGGTGTAATAATACAGAAAAAAAAATACAGCAAAATTATATTTTAATACTCTTAGTAGTAGATTCACTAGCATGTGAAGCAGTATGGCTAGAGATTTTGCATACCATGCCACAGTAAAAATAAAAGGTTGTATATAAATTAGGAATGATGTCTGGGGTTTAGTTTTGGTTTTTTTTTTTTTTTTTACTTTTGTGATATTCACAAATAAGTTACTCTTGTTGAAACATATTTTACCTTTCTGAAAGACTAAAATGTATCACTTAAAAAAATAATTTACTTTATTTGAAACACAATTTATTCACTATATTAGTTTTTTATTAAGGAATAACACCAATAGAGATTTAACCAACTTGAACAAAATGTGAAACAAAAAAAAATCTTCTATACTGATGACAGGTTTCATTTTTTAGTAAGCATAAGCTGAGAGTATTAATTAAAAAGTCCCACCATGGCCACAGAGTAGGGTAAATTATCATTAGAGTGATGCTGTACAATCTTGATGATATTCTGTCTTTTGTACCTCTGAAAATGTCATTGTATCTCTTGGGAATATGATTATTTCTGAAGTTAAAATTAGCTTTAAAAGAAAAGGCAGCTTGAATCTTATTTTCAGGTGGATGGAGCTAAACATACTGTGGGAGTAAATCTCTTCTCACATAAACCAGAAACCCTCATCACAGTCCTCAGGGTTTTGCAGTGGTGGTTATATTCTGTTTTTTATAATAAACTTCGCTAGTTTTCAGCCAGCAATAATTACAACTTGAAACTTGCTTACAAGATAAAGACAGAGCTTGTGAACCAAGAGGCAAAGTTATCATGTAGAGTTGCAAATATTACGAGATGAGAATTTGTTAGAAGTTAAATCAATCAAGGAAGAAATTA